GCAAAACCATTCGCCTCCCCCCCGGATCTGAAGAGATTTTTGAGGCCCCAAAGGATTTCACATGCGGCGTATGTGGTCGGCCCCACTTTATGGCGAGAAATTTGACTCAAATGGCGATCAACTTGAGGTGCTTTTCAAGGAACAGTTTCAGACACACCCAAAATCATAAAATCAGTGATATATATATATATATATCACAGATATAGATAGATAGATTAGATTAGATGAGATGAGATTAGATTAGATCAGATTAGGATAGATAGATAGATAGATAGATAGATAGATATGATATGATATATACCATTATTTGCGCCTGACTTTCCCATGAAACCAACATTTTGTGACGTTTTTCCTCGCCGTCGATGTGCCGGCCTAGGGCCTTTCCAGAAGATGTTCAGGAGGCAATCACGACGGAATGCCAGGCAAAATACCATGCCTATGCAGTGGGGGAACCTGGGAACCTGACCGGTTGAGATCTGTTGCTGTTTAGCCGCCCTTCAGAATGGGAGTTTCACTGACAGTTTAACCCTGAAAAATGTGTAGAAACCATAGTATACGCAATGAATTGACTGGCAGTTTCAAGCTGTTTCATTGAGTTTTTTAAGACTCTTGAGCTGGGATGGTTTTCTCCTATGATCCAAGTCCAGCATGTTTGTCGGGGTGGTTTCACCACCACCCAGTCCGACAGTTTGTGTGTCACTTTGAGCAGGGAATGAAGGAAGCATCAAGTTTCTTAAATGAGATTGCAAAATAGATCCACTTTCTCACCATTTATTCTCACATTCTGCAAATAGATCTGTAAATATGTTGCAAAATTCATGGGAGATCGGTGGGTCACCGAGCCATGGAACAGTGCCGCCCAGGATGGCAAAAAGAAGTGCATCCATGTTGTTGGGCCGGACTTCCGCGATAGCTTTGATGACCCGCCAGCCACTGAGATCACTGAGATCACTGAGGGTGAACATCTACAAAGCTGTGATGTTAAAAACAAAGAACAGCCAAGGAAAACTATGAAAAACTGTACCAGAACTGTTGTGATGGGGCATGATGGGGCCATTCCTGATAGGATTTGTTGTTTTCCTAAGGATTTGCCGTAGAGCTTTCCAGGGTTTTGAAGCTACCAAGTTCTGGTGTCCTTGCCACCAAAAATGTCACGATTAGTGCATCGTGTCCCTGATCCATCCTTCATGGCTTTTGTTCGTCAGGAAGTGGCAAAACCTTGTGTCATGAGACACCCAGCGACCGGTATTTGTACCCTCTGGTTATTTAACACAGCCATGGTATAGATGGCCTTATGTTCACCACTTAGGCAGAATCCTATAAACTTGAAAATCAATTTATTTGTGAAAAAAATGTGAAAAAAATGTAAAACAAAAAAGCAACCAAAAAAAAAAAGCAAATCAAAATGCAAAAAAAAGCAAAAAAAAAGCAAAAAAAAAGCAAAAAAAAAGCAAAAAAAAGCAAAAAAAAGCAAAAAAAAAGCAAAAAAAAGCAACAAAAAACAAAAAAAATGAAAAACAGAAAAACATAGAATTAGATTTATATTTAAAATTAGTAAAGTTCTACTACAATTACTATAGTTATAATTGCAATCTCTTCAGAATAAGTAGACAATCATAATTATAATAAGTAGACAAAACATCAAGTCACTAGCTGGATGTGAAATCCACAATATCAAATTGGATATATCTGATATACGGATATAGTATTGAAATACAGATATCAGATATAGTATATTATAAAGTATGTAGCATATGGTATACAAAACATTTCATTTTTGAATCAAGCCTGGCCTCACAAAATTGCTTTGTCGCTTTGTGACATATTGGAAAAATTGTTTTGATGTTGTCAACTTCCCAAATTGAGGAAGTCTTGCAGAATTGCTTGATTTGGGAAAACAGAAAACATTACACAAAATTACAATGATCAGTACTACAACAATCACTACTACAACTACAACTGCACTCCACAACGCCGCTACAAGAAAATTACAACTTCAACCTAACCTACAACTACACACTATACAACCACAACTGCAACCTACAACCTAACTACATATCATTACATTACAACTACACCTGCAAGATACAAGACCTACAACTAGAAACTACAGATGCAACTACAACTGCAATTGCTGCAATTGTAACTACAACTTCAACCACCATCCACTACCACTACCCCTACAAAAAGTAGAATTACAACTACTAACTAACTAACTAACTAACAAACTAACTAACTAGCTAACTAACTAACTAACTAACTAACCAACTAACTAACTAACTAACTAACCAACTAACTAACTAACTAACTAGCTAGCTAGCTAGCTAGCTAACTAACTAACTAAGTAACTAACTAACTAACTATTCAATACAACAATACAATGAAATGAAATCCATTTCATTACAGCCATAATCAAAACACAACTCAAGCTACAACTACCACTATCACTACCCATACCCGTACCCCTACAATACTACAACTACAACTAGCAACTAGAATTACAATTGCAACTATAACCTTAACTGCACTACAAGTACAACGACAACAAACACTACCCCTACAAGTACACCCACAACTACAACTACCACTGCAACTGCAACTAGGACTGCGGCTGCAACTGCAACTACATTGCAAATTACAACTGACTTACAACTACAACTGCAACTTAACTACAGTAACTACTAACTACAACTACAACTACGCTGCTACAACTACATTGCGCTGCCTCCAACCACTTCTCACTTCTCAATCCATCAGCAGGCTCGCTCTGCCATCCCTGCGTCACAACTAACTAACTAACTAAGCGACTAACCTCTCCTAAATGGTTTTCTGTTTCCGATATTTGAAACTTCCGCCACCACCTTTTGGTAATGATGGATAATGAGTAATGAAATGAGTAATGAAATGAGTAATGCGTAATAAGTAAGTAATGAGTAATTAATGATGCAATGTAGTTTAGTTTAGTAAAGTTTAGGCAGACGTGCCATATATTTGTGTAACTCTGCCACACTATCACTACCACTACCAGCTACAAAACTACAACTACAATTACATCCCTAAGACAACTACAACTACAACTACAACTACTACAACTACCCTTACTTACAATCTTACAACTGCAACCACAACTAGTCACGAAAGCTAGCTTGCTAGCTGGAGTTGGCTTTCCTTTAGGAATGTATTGGGGGCAGTCTTTGGGAAGAGGCAGTGATCTATCACATCAAAGGTTTCTGGCTGAAGTGAACCATTCGCATGAAGGGCCCCCCCCCCTCTGCAGGTTCAAACCCTCCCTGGTCCATGTGTTTTGAAGGGGTCACGGAGGGTCCCTTCTTTGGAGAGAAGACAGAGTGATGGATATCACAAGAGTGCAAGCACCCAATTTGGTATTGTCACATCGCGTTGACGCATCTTCTCCCGGGTTCTGCGTAACTTGACAAGACGCGGCTAATTTCATGACAACCTTTTGAAGCATTTGACATGCGACTGTGCCAAGTCACACCAATGCCAAGCACAATGTAGGGCCGGGGATGTAGCTTCCTTGGCCATACCGGGCCATACCGTTACCAGCCGCTTGTCTCACCCACCACCTCACTTCGTCCTAATCCAGTATCCGATTTGGTACTGCTATTTTGGCACCGCAACTTGAAAGCATCCGCTTTGCTTTCCCTCTTTTTGCACACTACAGCAAAGCATCCGATTTGGTACCGCTACTTTTGCGTCACAAATTCAAGGCCGCTGTACTTTTGACTTGAAAGCATCCGATTTGGTACCGCTCCCTTTGCAACACAACTTCCAAGCATCCGATTTGGTACCGCTGCTTTTTCACCACACTTCAAAGCATCCTATTTGGTACCGCTACTTTTGCAACACACCTTCACAGCATCCGATTTGGTACCGCTACTTCAGCACCACAACTGCAAAAAATCCAATTTCATACCGCTACTTTTGCAACACGCCTTCAAAGCATCTGGTACCGCTACTTTTGCACCACAACTTGATACATTCGATTTGGTACCGCTACTCATGCAACACAACTTCAAAGCCTCCCATCTCCCACCGCTACTGTCCCAACATAAATGCGAAGCTTCCGATTTGGTGCCGCTGCTTTTGACTTGAAAGAATCCGATTTGGTACCTGGTACCATGCCAAAATAACACCGTAGAATCCGTAGAACTGTCTTGCGGCGTGCCAACATAACAGAAATCAATGCGTTCTCTCAGCTGCCTCACTCAGAAATCTCGTTGGTTTACCCTTCCCACTTTCAAATTGATAATTTTCGTTCCCTTCCCCTTTGGCCTCAAGTAACTACAACTAGAATTACAACCGTAATTACAAGTATAACACTATAACTTAAACTTAAAATTATTATTATTATTATTATTAATTCCGCATCAGTAATTCGATACGATGTTTCTGAGCAAATGTGGGCGTAACTTCTGCGTGGGAAAGTCGTATGTGGAAGAGTTAAGACAGAATCACGAGTTGAGTTGTCTCTTGAAGGACTGCCAAGGTTGTGGGAGAGGTGGGTGTGCATGAGTCGGTTCTGTGAGGGTAAGTTGTGCATGGGTAAGCTGTGTGCGTGTGTATGTATGTTGTGTGTGAATATATGATATTAATCATGCTGATAATGTAAGGGTGTAGTGATCAATGATTAATGTAATGATATGGAAAAGTGGTTGTGTATGTATGGCTCAATTGAGAGCAAGTTGTGTGTGGGTAAACGTTGTGTCGCATGTCTGTGAAAAAGAGTTGAGTTGTGGTTTGAGTCGACTTGAAGTCATTGAAGGTGTGAAAGAATTGTGTACAGTGTACAGTGTTCAGTGTAGTGTATAGTGTAGTGAGTCAGTTGTGTGTGGGTAAGTCGGGCAGGTGGTGTGTGAAAGGTTGGAGGCAGGAGGGAGGCGGTGGCAGGCATGCAGAGCAAAAAAACAAGAACCACACACACACACAGTGCCACGGGGCACAACATAGCGTTACCAAGGCAAACCAAATAAACTGATATAATATAATAATATAACTATTTTTTCAAACAATGGTTACCGGTTTAGATAGTTTAGTTGCTTAGCTTTAACTGATTTAGTTGGTGATGCTCATATATGGAATAGTTACCTGATAGTTGATGTTGTGATTGTTTGTTATATGGCTAGCGGCTAACCTAACTGAAAACATAGCTGAAAACCGAAAACCGTTAAACCAAAAACGTCATGGAACATATGTTTTTGGACCATGTGTTTTTTTCATGTAACTTGTAAATGCAGTCGTGTGGTGTCTTCGACTTAGACATCTGGCCGGGTGGTGGTGATGTATTTTCAGATTTATTTATTTTTTTGTCCATGTTTTTTTTGCATGGATTTATTTGCATGGATTTACTCACATGGATTTATTCACATGGATTTTTTTCGCATGAACCAATTTCCTGTTTGCAAAACCGCAACTTGAGTGAACTAAGCTAAACTATATACAACTATTTTTATTTGTATTAAATGTGAACCGCACCACAATTTAAAATTATCAATTTAAAATTTGTATTTGTTTTTAGCGCATCGTTTATAAACTCAACAAACCACAGCCAAAATGAACAAGTTTGAGCTGTGCTGCTGCTACAACTGGGATGTTTGACTGATTTTTTTTTGAGGGACTGTTTGGTGAGAAGTGTTAACTGGCCTGCCTGTCACGCGGAGTTTTGGCAACCAGCACTCGATCAGCTGGAGCTTACGTTCTTTCCTTGAGATCCCTGTTCAAAAAAATCGTTTACCCAGCTCAGCTACGTGCTAGCTAGCTGCTAGCTGCTAGCTGCTAGCTAGCTAGCACATCGCTGGGTAAGCGATTTTTTTTGACCAGAGATCTCAAGGAAAGAACGTAAGCTCCAGCTGATCGAGTGCTGGTTGCCAAAACTCCGCGTGACAGGCAGGCAGAGATGTGTGA